AATGTTGATGATTGCGTTGTTCCTTAATTTTCGAATTGGATCCGGCTTATTATTTTTTATTTATAATTTTATAAAAGTAAGTTTAAACTTTTGATTATATCAAATAGAATTTCCGATATATATTTGTTAATATGTAAAGGATCTAAAGCGAAAGTATGTTTTGAAATCCGAAATCTGTTTATCAATTTCACGCTGCTCAGCGGGGGGAATGCCGCGGCTTGCGCGTAATGAATTGGAAGTTGATCTGTCAGCACTATCCTTATCTTCAGGGCAGATGTTTTAATTTTATTTGGCTTATAATTCCTTATCAAATGTAGTATTTCATCTCGATGTGCTCCGTCTTTTATATGATTTAAAACAAGTTCCTCGTCATTATTTCATTCGCTTCCGATAGCGAAGAAAAAGTAAGTACAGAGGTTATTGAAAACGAAGAAAAATTTCGATTGACAAATTAGTCAGTATTCTCGACACAGCAATTATAGGACTTGAACAGCGGAACTTTGTAACTGAACAAGAAATTATGTCTGTTTAATAGAATTAAAGAGAAAGTATTATCACATGAACGAAGCAAAACTTAAACAACTTACATTGAAAGAAATGTTTAATAAAGTAAACAAATAAATATTAAGCTTTTTCTTTTTGAAAATTTTGATACCCTTTAGATCATAATTCTTTATTTCATAAATTATGGTTTCATACTTTTAATTTTAGAATTTCTGCATGCCATCTTACAAGATTTAAACTGATGATCTATAATCCGGAAAAATCGATAATCCGGAATCGCCGAAGTCCCGACGAGTCCGGATTAACGACTTTTGACTGTATATTTTTGCTGAAAAATGTTCCAATATATTTTATTTTTCAATGCATGAAAGCATATTTTTTGGACAATTAATACAGAATATGAAATACTAGTGGGCTGTAGCCAAATCAAAATTTATAAGTTCTATTCAATGAAAAATTTTACCCTTAAAAGTTTAAATAAGTTTGTTGTTTAAAAAAGATGGATGCCAGTTTTAAAATTTTACCTTATACATGCTTTGATGCAGCATGCCGCACAACAATGAAGTTCAGCGAAAAAAGCAATTTGCGGAGCGCAAAAATTAGCATTTTCAGACTTCTTAATTTATATATTGGCTGTTAAAGTTGTATAAACATGGAAGTGGTTGAAATGTCTTCTCATGAATTTTTGGAATTTGAGAGTATCTTTTTCAAAACTCAACTCCCCGCCGTTCTGGAGAAGATGATGTTACAAACAAATAGACAGATGCACACAAATTTTAATAGTATAGATGATTCAGCTTTATTTCTGTACTTCATTTTGTCTTAGCTATATTTATATTTGGTTAATCTCTTTTTATTTTTAGTATCTATTGGCAGTTGTGATTTTAGCTGAAATGTAATTTGTTTCATTTTCCTTTTGTTTGTGTTGAAGAATGTGATTATAGTGGATATCATGTATATTATTTCTGTATTAAAATTCCTTTGGAATGAAGCCTGGCAAATCTTTCAGAAAAACTATGAAGAAAATCAAGCATGCTATTTGAAGCAAAATTGATTAGCATTATAGATTTAAAACAGTATGGAATAGATTGGATGAAATAAACATAATGAATACTGAAAAACTGGTACTTTTCCTTTATCTGCCTACAAATCTGGCAATCTGCGAACAGGCACTCATGTGCAGTCTGTGAAGGGTTTAGGGGAATCGGCTAAATGAAGAAATAAAATACAGTCTGGTACTGCAGTGCAACATTTCACGTCCTGTCTGTCAGAAATTATTTGGAGAAAGAAGCAGGTGCGATGAATTATTTTTATTCCATTGTAGAGGTAATAGGCAAACAGTTTCCACATGAAATAAACCCTACTTGACATGAGCAATGCCCCTTCTACCCTTTTTATAATTAAATTAATTTTTTTCATTGTCTTATTATTTAATTAGTATGTGTTACATCATATTATTTGTTCTTACGATTGTACGATATTGCGAGCAGATAGATAAAGGAAAAGTACCGAAAAGTTCTGCACAAACTTTTTAGTACGATTCTAGTTAGGCAAGGCAATTAAATACATTTTTATTTAAATCAAATTAAAAAGTAAAAAAAGATAAGGACTGCATTTAATGCTTTGAAACTGATTAGTTTATTGATCAGTAACAGACAGATTAAATATGAAACTTAAGTACTTTACGCTTTGCTAAATGGCAACACATTGGTGCGTGGGAGGTAAAAGTGTTTTACTTCCAATAATTGCAATTCATTGTTTTTAAATAGCCAAGTTTGTTGTTTAAATTTTTGAAACACTGGGGAGTGGAACATAAAAATATTTTATTTCAGGCAGTGGTAACACATTTCTTTTAAATCGCTAAATTTGCTGAAGTCTAAAGTTCATGCTGGTGTTTGATTGATAAGGGAGGTGGCATAAGATCATCAGGTTATCATAATGTAACATAAATAAGTGCACAATGTATAGAATTCTAATTTTTGTGAAGAAATGGAGGGGAAAAAATTCAGTGCTTTAGAAAATTTTAAGAAGTTTTCTTTTGAAAACTCTATTGAGGTTACTTTTTTATAGTTATAGATTGTACTTGAGGAAAGATATTGTGCCATTTCTTCCCAACTAAAGCTTTTGTATATACTGTACTTGTACAGCAATGTGCTTTATTGTCTAGAAAGTGGGAACAACTGCATATAGTTCTATAAAATAATGCAATATGTTACTATTTTGTTATTACAGTGTGTATAGCACTCATACAATTGCCACAAATTTATGAAACTATATAACCATGCGATCATTTTTACCTCTCGCGTGGAATCATCTTTTGAAAGTCATGTATGTTTAGCATATTGAAGTCTTGTACTATGTAGTAAGTCTTGTATGTCTTTATGCTAATATGGATAATGTTGTTAGTTTATTTTCTGGCTGATCAACTTTGCGTATTTGAATGTTTTGTGCTTATGTGTTTGCATGTGTTCTTGCATGCATGTTATAATTTTCATCTTCAATCTATTGGCTTCTCTTCATGCAGTGGCTATTTGCTAATAATAGCTTTGAATATTCTTATAACTCTGAAAGGGTTTATTATTGAGTAATACCTACAAAATTCTGAAGTCTTGCAAGTGAGAGCTCAGAATATACATAAGTTAGCCATATTTCTTTTGCAAGTACATCATGGCTGTGTAGGAATTTTAGCCTGTGTTTAGCATTGAGTAAAGAAGCCTTTACATCATGTAAGATAACCATATAATTGCAACTGTGAGTTAACAGACTGCATTTATTGGCATCAGGCAACTCATTCCTTCTTTCCATGATAGTGACAGGTGCTAGAAGTGTTTCTGTGGTTGAAAGAGCATAATGCACTTGTTCTAGGAAGGCTGTATGACTCTAAAAGAAGATTATAGATGTTGTATGCACATAATGCTTCATCATTTTATCAAGATGTCTTTCATTCACTGTTCTGCATTATTGACAGTACTGGTGCAACAGTGGCAAACAGTAACAAATTTGAGAATACCATTTTTCACAGTATATCACATTTTGTTATACTTTGGGTTTACAGGTATCTCAGTCACTTCTCAGGTTACTTTTGACACCTCAGCAATGTACTGCCAGACTGCAGTAGCATTACTTTGTAATTGCTTTGAGCATTACTTTGTAATGAATTATGTTATTGTTTAGTGGTGAAAATGCTGATTGAATTTTGTGCCCATTGCTGATGGAGCAGATGCCAAGACAACTGTTCATATCTTATGTGCCGCACCAACAAGAAGCATTCTTGTATGAGGTACTTTTGGATTTAAGAGCAGATTACTTATCTCAGAATTTGAAGCCATCATAACAAGTTCTTAATATGTCAGTCATATTCTATGATTATTCTCACATTTGTATTTGCAGCAGTTACCTTTGGGTAATCTTCCAGCAGGACAGTGCTACTTCTCATACTGCACAACAGCATAAGCCTTCAGAATCGACAGTATCCCACCTCTTCCTTGCCACTTAAATTACCTAATTTATCTCTCATTAAAATGTGTGGGAAATGCTCAGTTTAGGATAACTCATATGACATTCCTTCAGAAAATTTTCAGTTTTGGATTTGAATTATTACAGCATGGTTGGCTGTTCCACTACACATCATTAAAACTTTGTTTAATTCAGTGCCATGATAAGTAAAGCAACCAATGTAAGTCAGAAGTGGTGTATGAGATATTAACTATATCAGCATACATAATACAGATCATTTTGAAACATTAGTCGTCCATTCTGTATTGCCTGTTTTACGTATCATGCAAAACTTAAACTGTAACTGTATTGTTTCTGGATATTATCTTTTTTTAAAGAATAGTAGTATATGCTACTTTCATTTGGGTGTCAGACACATTTCTGTAATTGTGTGTAATTTATTATTTGCTCTTTTTAAAAGAGCATAGCATTTTATTTTTTAAATGAGTTTTTTTTTTTCCCTTTATGAGAAATATTTTAGAAGTCTTAGTTTATTATACAATAAAATAGACACAGGGGGAAAACTTTAAATATTAAATTATCTAGTAATGGAATCAGGTATTTAAATAACTGTTTAATTATACCATCAGATGATATTAATTTCATTGTGTTATTAGCTTTGTTTCTTAAAGAAAACCACCATCTTTAGGTGTGAATGCAGAAAATGTTTTCATTTGCAGCTATTTTTGAAACTGTTATTCTGTGCATCTTATTTATGGCAATTCCTGATGCTAGTTCTGGCTTTCTATAGTATTAAGCAATTTGATTATTCATGAACTTATATCTGTTCAAGGAAAAGAATAATGCATTTAAATTTTCACCATTAAATTCTCAGCAGTGCAAGAATGAAATTAAAAATATTCATGTATATGTGGTTTCTGTACATTTCATGTACACGTATGCTTCATATTTTTCATTCTCTTTCTCACATTGTTTCACTTGTAAAATATTATTATATTGCTTAAGCTCTGAAAATAAATAATTTGAATATCTCTTCATAGGTATCTGCATAATGAGCTGTCATGAACCTTACGTGAATGAATATAGACAACTATTCATGTTTACATTCCAATGAATAAGTTTATGATTAAAGTGGCATTTGACGTTCTTTTTAAGAACTGTATGTCCTAATCAGGTATGGTCTGAATTGTTTTGTATTACAAAAAGCCACTGTTATTTCTTATGATAAAATTTAATTAATGATTTGTGTAATTTCTTTAAGTGAATGCTGCTGTCTGTCAATATATAACAAATAATTATTATCTGAATTTAAAAGAAATCAAATCTTAAGGATATTATTTTTATATAAAATCTAATTTCTCGAGTATTTAAGAATATATTAATTCTGAACTGTATATTAACAGCACAATTTAATAAATAAACCTCAAATTGTTGAATCAGTTATTTTGTGAATGGTATTTGGGTGATATCTAACTAATTGGCATGTAACTAATTTTCATAGCTCTGATAGCTCAAGCAGTAACATTTCTACCGACAGTATAATGCATAAGTACCTGAACTGGTGCTGTGCTTGTGGACAGACTGTTTAAAAGCTCATTTCATTGTTAAGACTTCAATATCTATATATATTGTTATCAAAATCATAATACAGAGTACCATTTTTTAGTGATGAAAATTTGCCTTACATCTTGGTACATATTATACAGATGAAAGAAATTTTAGAAAAGATAGTTTGATGAATTTATATGAAAAAATTGGAAGTATCAAATTGTTTCTACACTTTCATTCTGAAGTTTTCATGTAAAGGTATTATTGGTTGTAAATTGAATTAATCAACTTTGAAATTGCTTAAGACTTAATAATGCTAACATAATAATAGCCATTGATTTGTTAAACTTCACACTAGTAAATCAATGTAGATTGTATTATTTGATAGACTGTGAGTGCTTTCTTGCTGTGTGTCTTCATGGTGTACGTGGTAGCATGTCCAGTTAGCAGCTGGTAAGTATGGAGCTCAAATCTCAGGGAGGACATAGCTGATATTCTCATATTTCAAGAGCTAATATTCTCATATTTCACGCTCCAGAAAATTCTGAAAGTATCAACAAATAACCATCTGACTAAAATTATGGTTTGCAGTAATTCATCACTACCCGGATTTGGAGTTCCCTCCCTCCCCAATCACCCTATAAGCAGAGGAGAATGTAAGGAAGTTTCACCTTCCTCACTGCATTCCTTAAGGGTATAAGTGGTAGTTTGTCCAACTAGCAACAGAAGACATGGAGATCAAATCTTGGCAAAGGCATAGGTGATTTTCGCCTATTCCAGTCCCCCAAAATTATAGAAATCTCTACAAGTTATTATGTTGCTAACTGTTGGTTCAAGAACAAGTTTGTTTTTCTTTATATGCATTCAATTTTTGGTTTCATATTTATTAACAGCTTAAATTTTCAAATATAAAAGTTTGTTATGTAGTTTTTGTATTAAATTAACTGCTTATATCTTATTGTAGCTGAAAAGTCATGGGGTTATCTGACAAGCCTGCATTAGAAAAAAAGTTGCTTGAAAATATTCAGAATGATTTAAGAGCACTTGCTGTAGAAGCAAGAAAACGATACCCTCATTTGAAAGAAGTGCGTATAAATTAACTATATAATAATTATTGTTTGTTTGTTTGAAATAAAATACATGACTTTTCCTTTGATAAGTTTATACATGTACTCACAAGCTGATGCTGCACATTCTTATATTTGGCAAAGTACTTACATTTGTAACATGTAGTTGTAACCCCTACTGAAGTCTTGGATGTTTATAATACTGTACTGACATGATGTAAAGAAACCCTTTTCTGTGAGCAGATAGTTATAAAATTTTTAGAGGATGTAATCCTTTCAGTTCTTTAATTCCGTAATTCAGAGGAATAAGGAAGATGCATTTCTCTCTTTCTTCCTTAATCTGAACCATAAATGCCTTACATATATTCCCTATGTGAACTGTGGGAGGGGCTGAGTGGAGATGAAAATTTTAATAAAGTGCTGGCTTGCACTTTATTTTATGAAAACATTATATCAGATTCTAATTTATTGTTTTATTGCAAAAACAGAAAATGCCCAAAATTGTGAATTAACAAGAAAATAATAATAAAAATAATAAGTATTACTGAAATTGCGTAGTATTGTTGCTTTCCGATTACCCCACAAATTAATAACTTCCGATTTTATTTCGTGTTTCTCCCTTTTTAAAAGTGTTTCAGAAATGAAATCAGCAGAAATCAATGGTAAAAATTAATTTACCAACATAAATTTAGCGAAAAATGTAAAAAAATCGTTTTGAAAGAAAAAAAAAAAAAAAAAAAAAAAGCATGTAATACCAAGGTAAATGCTCTAGGAAAGAAGTCACAATGTGCCAATATGGGCACATTGGTTTCTTTTTGCGTAATTTGTAATTTAGTGTTCAATTTAGTGCATAATTTGCAATTTAGGAATCCTATGATCTTTGAATTCACGTATAGATCAATTGACAATATTATTGCTATTAAATTCAACCAAAGTGTAAGAGTAGAAATTTATCCAGTGTTCCTAAAATTATAACAGTTGCATTAATGTGTGGACTGTTTGGATTATTACTCTTAAAAATTGCAGTGCGGTCACACTTTGTAACAAGATGCTTTTATGCTTTTAAAGCCATTAAATTTATTTCTTTGAATTCTAATATCTCAATACTATTGCCAATGTTGTTCTTATCAAGGCATGGAGCATTAAATTTTTTTTTTTCAGTTCTAGATACGGGATCATGAGAAAGAAATCTGTATACATAATATGCTAATTTAAAGTAGTACCTCATATGTAGTTGCAAAGAGTTTTCTTTGAAGTTTGTAAAATCATTAGCTTAAACCTTTTAGAATTTTACTGGATAGGTAGCTGCTGTATTATACGTATGTATAATTCTATTTTGAAACAAATCTGTGGCTCAGTAGTATGAAGCTTTCTACTGACATTTCTTTTTTCTTTTGTTTCATACTTATTTCAGCTTTCACTTGTCAAAAAAAAATGTATTTCTAATTTAATTTGAATTTTTTTAATAATTAATTTCTATTTTTACCTTAATTTTTTAAATTGGAGTGAGATTTTAAATTATGTCTCTCGCTTAATAGAAGTTTGTTTTATTACAAAATGCCAGTGCTGCAAGTCAACATCATGCCCTACGATTAATTTTAACAAAGATTACAAATATTGCCTTGCTTAAAAAATATTTGTCGGCTTCAGATTGGCATTCACACGAAGAAGAAAGAATGTAACTTGAAAGTTATGCTTATTTTTTCATGCTAATCACTTGCTTCTTTAAATAGTTAATTTAATAGTAAACAATGTAATTAAGTTTAATGCACTTTATTGGCTGGATTTGCTTCTGGTATAATTTTGAATGTACTTTCATATTTGCATTTTCTTTCTTTTTTTAAAATTTTCTTCACTCAGTTTGACTTTACCTAGCTTTTTACAATGATTTTTTTCCCACCTTTTAATAGTTAAAAATTATTTACATACATTCTGGTGCTGTGAAATGGTTGACTATTTTCGCAATTTTTTGGTCTTTTAATGTGTTACACAAAATTTCAATACAATCAAAAGTCGTTAATTCGGACATCCATAATCCAGACCTCAAACCTACAAACTTTCTGCTCATGCGTCGCGTTGACGTAAAACCTTTACGGCTGCAAATATGCATGTGCAAAATACGTTTACGAATGCGCGTTTAATGTATAACAGATGGTATAAGCTAAGCTAAAATTACCTAATTACCTATTTCAGTTAATGTTGCAGATTGCGTTGTTCCTTAATCTTCGAATTGGATCCGGCTTATTATTTTTTGCAGACTGTTAGAGCAATTTTATGAAAGTAAGCTTGAACTTTCGATTATGTCAAATAGAATTTCTGATATATATTTACTAATATGTAAAGGATCTACAAAGCAAAAGTATGTTTCGAAGTCCATTAAACAAAAAGTGGAATTGCTGCAAAAAATGGATAAAGGCATATCCTTTGCTTATCTAAACTTTAACGTTTGTTTATCTAAACTTTGTTTATCTTTAACGCCGTTGCGCACAATGAATTGGAAGTTGATCTGTCAGCACTATCCTTATCTTCAGGGCAGATGTTTTTATTTTATTTGGCTTATAATTCCTTACTAAATGTAGTATTTCATCTCGATGTACTCCGTCTTTGATATGATTTAAACCAAATTCCTCATCATTATAATTCGCTTCCGATAGCGAAGAAAGTGACAGAGGTTATTAAACACGAAAAAATTTCGATTGACAAATTAGTCGGTAGACACAGCAATTATAGGACTTGAACAGCGGAACTTTGTAACTGAACAAGAAATTATGTCTGTTTATAGAATTAAAGAGTAAATATTAGCACAAAAAATTAAGCAACTTAAACAGCTTACATTGAAAGAAATGTTTAATAAAGTAAAGAAATAAATATTAAGCTTTTTTTTTTTTTGTAAATTTTGTTACCCTTTAGATCATAATTGTTCTTTATTTCATAAATTACGGTTTCATATTTTTAACTTTATAATTTCTGCATGCCATCTTACCAGATTGAAACTTGTAGGGTTTATATTTATTTTAACTAACATTTATTTTAAGTTTAAACTATCTTTCCTGTCAAGCCTTACTTTCCCCTGGAACTGCCAATGCCAGAGTATGTAAATTTTAGTAGAACGCGCAAGGATTCAAATTATCAGCGGAAGTATTCTGATTTAAATAGAAAGGAAACGAGTTCGAGGTGTGATATTCTTACTTCACGAGCGCGGAGGTAGTTGGCCAGAAATTGAAGAACCCCGCGTTTCGGCCTGTGTGCTTGCCTGGAAGTAGTTGTTAATCGTTCAAGTGATCTTCAAGTTTGCTGAATTAGCAGCGGTATTGTAAAACGCGGTGAGGTTAGTTACTTTTAGAGAGCCTCGTAGTTAGAGTCTTGTCTTTAGTTTCTTTTCAGGTTATTATTTTTATTTGACCGCCGAGTTGGCGCAGTTTGTGAGCGTCAAGAGCACGCACTTGTAATTTATTACGTTGAATAAAAAAGGGACTTAAACCCTTAACAAGACTCTGTCTTTTATCCAGTTTTCACAGTCACCTCTTGGTTGCGTGCAAGTTGGAGGCGCGCAACGCTTACATTGGCGCCCGAAACACTTATCGAACTGAAATGGCCGAAAATTGGATGGAAGCCGCTGGACAACACCAAGAAATGGCAAGCCAATTGATTTGAAGGAGAAGGATTTGGATACCTGGTCCAGACTTTGAGAGCGTCAATCAAGCCAAACGTCAATTTCGACGGAAAAAATTCGGTGGCGATATTTCTAGAAGGCCTAGAAAATCACTTTCAGCTCTACCCTGTGCCTGAAAGACAAAAAGTTGCCATCGCCACATCTCGCACTAAGAGGACAGGCCGCGCTATGGTGGAAAAAATATAGGCAAATTTTTATTAGGGGAATTTGGAAGCCAGACATATACATTTGAAAATTTCAAAAAATCGTTAGTAAAGGCCTTCCCCATAGTGAAAGATCGCACAAGGCTGGAAGCCGAACTATATAGTTTCTATCAACGGGATATAGCAGAATTGACGGACTTTATTCTACGAAAAATTAAGCTGACGGATATGCTGTATGGGAAGAAAACCCGATGCGGAGATTATTGAAATAATCTTACCAAGATTGTTATCCGCTGTTCAAGATTACTTTGAAATTAGAAACCCAAGCACATTGCAGGAGCTCTTCGAATTGGCGGTGAAGTTTCAAAATCGCAGAATAGTGAAAAAAACTAGAGGGGCAACGTATTCTCAAAGTACCCGAAGGAAATCTTCAAATGAGGAAACCAGAAATGGAAATCGCTCTTATGGGGAAAAGAGCTATCAAGCTAACTCATAGAAACTCGAAGGTCAAGGCCCAAAAAGAAAATTTTCAAAAATAAACATCTGCGTACCCAGAAGGCACAGATTGAAAGGAAAGCTTTAAACGAGTAGAGGGGCCTGTGAAAGGGAGGGTCCAGACCCCGGAAGTTTTAAAAAAACCCTCAAATAGACATTTAAATATGGTCATCGTAAAAAGCTCACAGCTACCAATTATACAAGTCCTTGTTGGCGATGTACCGGTAGAAGCCCTCATTGATACAGGAGCAGAAGGAAATTTTATGAGTGAAAATTTCTTCAAAAAGAATTTTTATAGGGTACGATTATTTAAAACCAAAAATACGGAAATTATAGCGGCGCAAGGAAAAACATGTCACTGCATCGGGAAATTATCATTAAACTTACAGGTAAAAGAGGAAAGCCTCAAAGTATTAATTTTTATAGTGAAAAATCTGCAAAATCCTCTTATTTTAGGTATGGAGTTTTTAAGGGCCGCGAGGGCCAAATTGAATTTTCAAGACAGTTCCGTGGTGCTGGAGATGGACCAGAGGGTGGTGGAACCTGTGGAGACACCGCAAGTGGACCTTAGCCATCTCAATGACCATGAAAGGCAAGCAATACAGCAAGTGGTGAGTAATTTTTCTAATTTGTTTTCAGAAAAACCAGAAACTGCCAAATAGTCACGCATAAGATACAAGTAACTGCCGAAAAACCTTGTAGGACTAA